TACAGACACATGGCCGACTTCCACTCGGGGACATGAACACATGCGTCCAGGTTGTCGTGGCTGCCTGAGCGCCACTTAAACACATCCATTCCCTCGATCTTTACAAGCTATTCCATCAGACACGACTCCCCTGGGGTAATTTAACACACACTAATTATGGAACATAGGAAAATGCTCTGCAATCCATCATTGACTCACGTTCTCTCAGGCATGACTGGATGCAGTCAATACTGGCCCTGGGTTCTCCGGTGGTCATTGCTATCTGAGACACCAATTGGGAGTTCTGTGAACAATAGATCTCACTCACAGGTGCCTAAGACATTTTGCCAACAACCCAGTATTCGACCTAATGATGAATGGACTGTGTTGGAGCTTTGCGGTGAGAAACGCAGTCGGCACCAATGTAGTGAAAGAAAACACGCGTATTACTATGAAATAGATAGGCAGTTATGCAAAGAAAGGGAGTTGGCAGCCCTACTGATAGGGGGTTTATCAGGCCACAGATAAGAGAGTACAAAGTTAGCACTTACTCGCAAAGCATTATGACGAACTTTGAGCGTTGATTGTAGAGCATGCGAAGGAAGTCAGCCGCAGTATTTACCGTCGGCGCCTGCGCAACAATGAATTCAGGCAAGGCGCCACTCTGGCTGGCGATGGCTCTACCGGTGCTTACGTAATCTGGCCGTTTGACATAGCTGGCGTTAATGTACATGTCGAGCAGGCTGGCTCCCTGACGGAAAAAAACAAATGCGTGGTGAAATATGAGGAAGAAAGGAAGATGCCTGGACGGATATAAACTAAAAAAAAGGTTAACAGTATTGGTTCGCGGGTACGGTTGCTTGTCAGCCAAAGACAGGAAGTTCAAGCTGTTGGTAATGTCTCCATTCTCACTAAAGGCACCTGTGCCACCTGCGACGCTGCTACCATAAGTGCGCGCCCGTGGCAGTCGATCTATCGTCAGTTCTGATTGATCTCCGTCGATGATATTTACTTATCAAGCGGATCAATAAATATACGCAGTATTTCTGTCAGAATAATTTGCTAGCTGGTACTATAGCTCTCAGCGTGATCGATTGCCTTCTCTTCCTTTCGCATGCTGGTTTTGCAAATAATGGACGGACAAACTCACAATTTAGAAGAGTATTTGGCGAGTGTACACTTTCAATAACCTTTTTCTCAGGCCAATACATTTATATAGACAGGTTAAAGAAGCGATCGATGATGCCCGTATTTTCCCACAAACGGGAGCTAACCAGAGCGCGGCTTAGTGCATGCCGCTAAGTGGCTGCCGACCACGTCAGATTTGGAGTTTACCCAAAGTTATTTTTTACACACGAGGCCGGTTTCATCAACTGCTCTAGCTAGCAGGCGCTGACCCAGGGATAATTACAAGTACCAGACGCGGGTCAGTACAATTTTGTGGCGCGGTTATAACACAAGCCCTGATAAGGGGTGATAATTACGAGCTGAGACAGGCAAGGTAAAGAGAGCGAGAAGGGCAGTGGACACAAAAGGTTACAGTTGTAATCGTCTGTAGTTGCAACTTCAGAAGGAAGGATCAGTGGAGGTGCGAGTGCTGGTCGAAATGACTAATACACCATGTCTCCTCCAAAAAGATACTATAACTTACTATTTCAGGAAGATACATCTTTCAGTTACCTAACGTTTACGACAGATCGACCGTCGATTTCTTCGACGGTCCACCGTATTCTCCATAGCGGATGGTGCAGGGGTGGTTTTTTGCGCTGGATCAAAGTTAAAATAGGCTTGCGTTGTACCATCTACACACTCTATCGAATCCCCCACTGGGGCCCGATTGCAGGATGGAGTCAAGGAGACCGGAAATTGGGGATAGTGCCATGGAATGGGCCATCACAACCGGAAAAGCCAAACCAACTGGGGAGAGAGAGACACAGGGGCACGGAGTACCATAAAGA